CCCCAAAACCCCAAAACCCCAAAACCCCAAAACCCCATATATTGTAGTAGGAATAGATTATAGTAATTTTTATTCCTATAGCGAAAAATGTCCGACTTAGCCCCTTCCTTCTGGGACACAGATGGTGTAACCCATGAGCCAGAGTACCTCCAGATGTCTAGGTAAGCTACCGGTGGAAGGGCCACCTTTGGGATAGCTCCAATATCTTGGGTTTGAGGGGTTTGAGGGGAGTGAGAATGGCTCATGATTTTGAATACTCAAATTTTATTAAGGTGCTCATTGATTTTGAGTATAGTGCATTTGATGAGAATATGTTTAGGAGAGAAGATGATCTTCTTAATGTATTCAGGTCTACTAGTCATAATGAGTCCTTATATGCAGATCATAAAGTTGCGGAGGAAGAGCCAACCTCTTGTTTAGCTTATTCGCATACCCATATGCCTCTATTTGATTACTGTAATAAAGAAGAAGGAGATTTAAAAAGTAGCATGAATTTATTCAAAATAGAGAGTAATCATGAAGGTATACTCTCTAGTGAAACTTCAGTTCCAGTAAAACCTCTCCAAAGCAAGGATGTCTTTAAAATAACTCCTCAAGTATCCATCACTGAAAAGACCCTTCAAAATTCAGGTAATGATAATTCTCCCCCTGATAACACTTTTGCTGATTCTTCAAAGATGGGAGATGACTCTGAAGAAATCAAGCTTCACAATAACAAAGGAGAGAAACTTTTCTCTAAAAGGAAAGATGTGATTATAAAGGCATTACTTCGAAAGTGAAAGAAATTCTTCTTAAAAGATTTTAACTCTAAGATCAGCTACCTAAGAAGAGCAAAACGGAAATTTGGCTCTTCTGCTTACAGGACTAGCTTAGAGTCCTATATTATTAGATTCTTGGACATTCCTATGTCAGAGGACATCCTAGTGTTTCTTGGTGTATTCCTCTACCCTAAAGACTTGGATGATAACCTAGATTTGTTCATCAGTTCGATTTACTCTCCTCTTGACGTAAAATCCCTCGCTTCTGAAGTTCATGAAGTGCTATATAAATACTCGCATAAGAAGTTTGAAAGATTTTCTCAAAACAAGGAATTTAAATTTCTCTTCAAACATTTTGAGAAATCTTTCCTACAGGAATTACAGAAAGAAGAGCTCTCTCAAGAGATGATCAGGGGCTTGGAGATAATCCGAGGCCAACTTTAAATCTCTGCAGTAGTAACTATTAATAAGATTCATGGTAGTTCAATTCAGATCCTGAAAAATGGGGTTTTGGGGTTTTGGGGTTTTGGGGTTTTGGGG